TAGTCTATTCTGCTTTTTTGTAGGAGATTCTGTACTGCCCAGTGTTTCACACTATTAAATGCCTTCTCGAAGTCAATAAATGCCATGTATAGCGGGATATGATATTCGTTAGTCTTTTCTATTAAAATTAACATCGTTAAAAGGTGGTCACTTGTACTGAAGCTCTTTCTAAATCCGGCTTGTTCTCTTGCCTGGTATCCATCCAATTTAGTTGTTAATCTATTTGATAATATTTTGGTTAATAGTTTGTACATCACATTTAGTAAAGTAATGGGTCTGTAATTCTTTAGATCCTTTTTATCTCCTTTCTTAAATAGTAACAATGTTATTGCTTCGTTCCAACCGTTGGGTATTTGTTTTGTCATTAGTATTTTATTCATAAGTATGTACAAAACTTCTCTAGTTGTTTTCCCACAATGTTTTAGCATTTCTACAGTCACCCCGTCTTTTCCTGGCGATTTATTATTCTTCATCTCTTTGAGTGCTCTTCTTATCTCGTTCTTACTGATTTCTGGTTGTAAGTCGATAGATAGTAAGATAGATCAAGTACAAAAAATAAATAGACTGACAATATGCCTTAATATCACTATATGGCAAGACAGACATATTAACATTGAGATGAAGTCAAGAATTTATTAAGTCAGTATAATATCAATAATGACATATGCCTCAGAACCAAGACCCGACACAGCAACAACGCAAAGGCTACTGGAAACGGCAGAGATAAGAGTACTGAGAAGAATTACAGGAAATACTCTGAGAGATCGAAAGAGAAATGAAAACATTAGAAGAAAATGTAACGTACAGTGATAAACAAATGAAAACAAAATAGAAAAGAAGAATGGAATAACCACATAAGCAGAATGAAGGAGACCCGTGTCATCAAAATAGCAAGAGATATGTCACCAATCAGCAAGAGAAGTATCGGATGACCGCGCACAAGATGGAGTGACAACCTTCCATATGGATATTAATTCGCCAATGAACAAGCATAATTGCTTATAAAGAGGAAGAAGAAGAAGAAAAAGATTGTAAGTTTTTTAAGCCATTGTATATAGCAAACGACTGGAATTTTCCCCTCTTTACCTTCTAAATAAATATAAATACACAAAAAATCTGACATGTCACGTTACAATTCTACTGTGACACGTTGTTTTTACTACGTAAAAATCGTCAATAGACATATCTGTTCAAGTAAATATCAAAAATCTACTGTCGTACAACCTGCAGCATATTCAGCAAGACATTAATAAAAATGAAACTGAAAAGTTAACATTGTCAAAAATGCAATTTTTGTAAAAAAAAACAGCAATTACTTTCTCAGAAAACCAATCAAATATCTTTTCTTTGCCTTCTCGTAAGTTTTATTCGTGATCGAATTCCAATCGCTAATACAATAGACGACATTCCGTATTGAAGTTTTAGTGTTATTTTTTCGAGAGTTGCGACTTAAAGCTACAAAACATCGTTTTTATCTGTATGGTCAAACTTCAATAACAAAGTCCAATATTTACTTAATTGGTTGAAAGAAGTGGAGGCAAAATTTCATTTTTGTTTCTTTATAAGTTGGCTTCACGCTTTTTAAATATATATGTCGTCCAAAATAAATGGCACATAAAACAATAAAACACTGACAACTTATGTTTTCACAAGTTCTCCAAAATGTATTATAACTAAGTAGGTTGAGGAAGGGAAAACTGTGTGTCTTAAGTTGGTCATTTAAAATTGTGTCTGTATTTTTTCACTTGTTAATTTTCATAGATTCTTATAAAGGTAGCTTAAGGTCTTTATTTTTAATGTGAAGGATTTAAAATTCGTCATTAAAAGAATGATTCTGTTCTACAAGGTAAAGTGGGTACGTAGTTTCTATATTTCTATTATTGAAAGCCCCTTTGTGATCTGCTATACGTTTATTAAAAGTACTACCAATTTGACCGATGTAAGTTTTGGGCAGTCACCACATTTAAGTTTGTTACACTACTGAGTAAGTGCTTTTTCTTTTGCCTCTTTTTTACATTAGTGCTACTCAAAACACAATATACAATATGATTAATTTGTATGAATTATCTAAAGCCTACAAAAACGGTAATCCATCCCAAAATACTGCGCCAATATTAGTGCCAATGCTTTGTTGTATTCTGCAGACTTCACTAACGTCTATTTACTGATAAAAAACCTCGTAGAGAAATCTGCAAAATACACGAATATTAATGCTAATACGCTAGTAAATGTTCGTTTGTGCTGTATCCCAATTTAAATCCAGCTTGTTCTCTGGTTTGATAAAAGTTTAACTTAGCATCCAGGCTCTTTTGATAAATTTTGTAAAACTTTTATATATGTGTGATACCTCATGGGAAAAATAAATATTTTTCATAATCCTATTTTTTTAGATTAAATAAATTGTTATATTTATTGTTTACATTTATTAAATTTATTAAATACCAAATAATATGACAAAATATTTGACATCAACAAATAATTAAAGCTACAAGTACAAATGATTCCACATAGTTTGCAATATATTATATCAATAAATAATATACAAATCATGACAACACTAATAAATCTGTTTCCTTGCTTACATACAGCGTGGTTTATATGAATTGTATTATAACGAGTTACTAAGAGAAAAATATCTCTAGCTGAAATAAACTGGGAATGGAAGAAATTATAAGAGAAAGCGATATTCCAAAAAAGGGCAGTATTCTCTCAGTCAAAAATCTCCATTTCAATTTTGTAACTTCTTGTCTAGCACACCTTACTTTTGTTTTCTCTCTTATCCACTCGTTTCTCTTTTTATCTATTAGTCTTATGTGCAGCATTTGTCTTTTGATTGCTCTTTGGGGTTTTATGATTTTGTCCATGTTTGCTTTTATAAATGTCTGTGTTAAGATGCTGTGGATATCTTTTGTTTTTAAGAATAGAATAGAATAGAATAGAAATATGCTTTATTGTCACTGAAAATTATTGAACAATTTAATGGACAAAGCTAAAAAATAAATCAGTCAAATAATACAAATAATACAAAAAGTATAAAACAAAAACAATATAGTAAAAAACAGAATAACACAATTATAAATTAGTAAAATTATTGTATAACCTACATAATTTGTACAGACAACAACAAATGAGACAAATTGTAGCCACTGCTTGAGACACCCAAATGTAATTATAAACAATACTAATTTTGTTTCTTTGTTATACATTAAGAAACTCGTCAACTGAATAATATGGTCTTTCTGAGAGATAGATTTTTGTCACCTTACGAAACTTAATGAAGGATGTTGCGGATTTAATTTCTCTTGGAAGGTGATTATAAAGTTTCTTTGCACGATATAGAATAGAATTCTTTACTAGCCGAGTGGACGGGATCGGCAAGTATGTAGCAAGGAATGTAGCTTAGTTTGCCAAATGCTGCCCATGCTAGTCTAACTCGTCTTTTTATCCCTGCTGTTTGGTTTTCTTTGTTAAGTTTTATAGTTTGATCCAGATATATATATATATATATATATATATATATATATATATATATATATATATATATATATATATATATATATATATAATCCTGAACTTGTTCTATTTCATCTTGTCCGATTCTCATTGTGATGTCTTCATCTGTATTTATTATGGTTTTGGTTTTGTTGTAATTCATATTAAGGCCTATCTTTCCAGCTTCTTCATCCAATTTTTTCATCATTTCAATCATTTGAAATATTTGAAATGTTGAAATGAAAAAAATTGTAAAAACGTCTTTAATATCTAGTTTTATGATAAAAATTTGATGTTGTTTTTTATTCTTTCGTATGGGCTTTTATATATCCCCATCTACCCTTTTTCTTTAAAAAGAAGCTGTTCACTTATTAAAGATCAATTTCCAAAAGAAATTTTATTGGCTGATTCCTCTTTCCAAAGATACTTAGTTTTATTTCTGATGTGTTCTCCTAGATTTCTACTTTAGCATTGAAATATCCACGTATTATTAAGAACTGGCCAAGTTTTTCTTGATTGTGGATATTTTACCTTCGTAAAACGTTTCTGCTACATGGTCTTTGTGTTGCGTTCTTGGGCTGTAAATCTGAATTATCTATAAAATGTACAATTCTGTTCTCCCATTACCAGTAGTGCTCTGATTGGAATTAGATTTCCTACCATTTTTTTACTTTACTAGTATCTATAATATCCTATTTAACTTTTGAGAATTGTATTCACATGTCCTCAAAACTTTTTTCAGTAGCAAGTGGTCAGTGGTCTGGTAATAAATCAGATAATCGTGCATTTATTGCATAAACCTGCGTCCAGAAACATTATCATTATAGGATTTTGGTCTAGTGACTCAAAAGCGTCTTTTGATTCCTATTATGTGACTATCGATACAATTATTTCCAATTAACCTCCAGATTAACTGGATTTTTACATCTGCATATGATAATATTTTAGATTTTTATATAGACTCTTCAATTTCGTCATTTTTTCTGACAGTCATTTATATAACCTTACCGATGCTCTTGATGATAATACTGACCATTTTTGGATTGATTTGAAAATAGTTTCACTATTTTTTTAAAACTTATCTTAAAACGACGTTGGCTTTGAAAGATAAAATTTAAAAAAGTATTAATCTCAAGTTCCTCTTATAATATTACTATTGTGCATAATCGCTATATATATTATTTACAAAATACTGAAAGAAAGTAGTTTTAAAACATTATTTTTATGGATTTTTACACCTGCTAAACAAACTTAACGTATTTTAGTTTTTTTCTAATAAAATCTACTCCTTTTTCCCGCAATCAGAGCATTTGAAAAGCTTTTAATAGGTCACACTGTATATATATTTCAGTATTCGATAAAAAACGATCATGTGTCTATTTTTCTTAATTGTGTTGTGGCCTTTTGCGTTCAAGCATATGATTATGCGTAATTTAGTGCTTTGCTTTTAGCTATATGATGCGCATAAAAATTAAGAAAAAAGAAGTAATACTAGTTTGGAACTTGTCAAAATTGAAGTTGCTTCAATATACTTAACATATATGTCAATTTTATTATGTATTATTAGTTATTTACCAATAAAGTAAAAAACCTTTAATAAATCTCTAACTGGATAGAGAGGAGGCGAGTGTGCAAATGCAAGAAATACTTCCAAGTAAGTGAATGTTTGTTTTTGCTTTTGTAGAGAGGTACAGATTAAAATGTAGTTAAATCTAAATTAATTTGGTTTTATTAAACAGGTATTCTCTGCTTTTAAAATAGAAAGAAGTAGATTTTAGTTATTTATTAATAAAAATACACACAAACTATTTGGAATAATAGCTTCGATAGTATTTTATAAAATAGTAAGTTTTCTTCCTGCTTTCGCTTTATTCTTGCTTTGTATTATATTTCGCCTTCCTCATGTTTTTGTTTCTAACAAAGAAAATGTATACCTGTTTAGAATAATCATTAACTTAGTTAACATTTTACATAAAGAAAAATAATAAAAACATGTATAACATTTATATTTTGTTGAGCAGTTGACTGTTCTCAAGGAATGTAATAACCTTGTTAATCTGGTCTGTGCTGTTTTGGACCTCTTTGAAGATAATACTGATATCGAGCTGTTGGCGTATTTTGGCATCTTCTTCTTATAGTGCCCTATCCAATTAGTGGACGTTGGCGACAATTCTGGCATACTCCTCTTAATCTTGTGTGGCTCTAAAAAGTGCATGGGCATCGAGGTTTGTCCAATCCTTTATGTTTTTAAGTCATAAGTATTTCTTCCTTCCGATGCCTCGTTTTTCTTCTATCTTCCCTTCCATAATAAGCTTTAAGAACTGGTACTTGGAATTTTGAAAATATGACCCAGATAAGTAGTTTTTCTTCTTTTTATTATTGACAGCAATTCTCGTTTTCTGTCCATTCGATTTATTTTGGCATAAAAAGTGCATTTGATAAGTATATGTATGATTTGGAGAGTCGTATTGCAGTGCTGACATTTTGGTTGTGGAGACGATGTCATTAGGTAGTCATGAGTTAGACGGGTATCTATGTCCTATACACAATCTCCGTATGATTGCCATATTTTTTCGAGATAAACTGCAATAGGTAAGTAGGTTCACTGAGGGTTTAATTTCATGCAGCGCTGAAGTAACTTTATTCTAGTGAATCTGCCAGGTGGATAGATTAAGCTTCTTCAGTCTTGCTTTGAGATCGTTGCAAATTTGTATATTGATAATGGTGTCCGTGGATGATACGGCTTTTCTGGCAAGGCAATCAGCTTTTTCGTTGCCACTAATATCGACATGGGATTGAACCCATATCAGAGTGACAGTTGTATTTTGGTTTTTAAGAAGCTGATATGTGTCATGAATATCTTGGACGAAGGATTGTTGGTGGATATATCATTAATGGATTGTATAGGGGAAAGTGAATCAAAGCATATAGCTATGTGTGTATTTTTATATTGTTGGACATATTTGAAAGCATGTGAGATAGCTAGTAGTTCACCAGTGTGGATACTACACCAAGGAAAAATTTTAGAGTTCAATAGGCTTTTGTACAGTGGTTACAAAATATCCAACACCACTTTTAGTCTTTGACGCATCAGTGTAAAGAATTATGCTACATTTATTTTTGTTTATAAGTTCTAGAAAGAGAATTCCTAATGTACTTATACTGGTATCTTCTTGGTTAAATTTGGTGAGGAAAATATCATGATGTGGGACCAATAGACATTATTGGAGAATGGTAGAGTTCTGGTTTCAGACAAATTTATATCTTTTTAGTAACGGCTGTAGAACACTAGAAATAGGATGTATAATTAAGTTACATGGATGGTTGGATTGGAAGAAATTGTAACAGCATAGGAGAGAAGAAGGTTTTATCGCCTAAGCCATAGAAGAGGTTCATTAGCTTCACAGTAAAAACTTTCTGCCAGACTTGAACGAAATGCATAGTGGAAGACATAGACAAATAGCCGTGTTATGTACCGTATTTAGTAAATTTAAGATTAATTTAAGATTAATGTCCCAAAAGATAATGTAAGAGTGTTTTGATTATATTTAACCTTTTTAGGCAAACTCCTTTAAGTTACTGTATGTGCTGTTGCCAGGTTAATCTTTAATCAAATATCAGCTCTAATACAACTTTTTTTTCTGTATAAAACGATATGTGTGCGTTGAAGAATTAAGTAACGAAACTCTGAATAAAATGCACCAATTTAGTTAGTTGTTTACAGTTTAAGGTAAAAAACTATACTGACTTAATGAATACAAACTATATCTTAAAACCCTCTCATAGTTCTTGATCATATCGCTGACACCTCGAGATTATCATCTCCGATGTAGTCTGAATATTGAGATAAATCACACACACACGTAGTGGCGTGCTCGCCATAACACCTTCCCGAAGACCGAAGCTGGGGTGTCTAAGAAGAGCTTCTTTTGCAGCTTCGAAGTTTTGGCTTGTAGTGAAGAGCCTCTCTAGACCTCAAGTACTTCGGTAAGAACGTGGCTTCATATGGCGGAACGGATCGAAAACGTTGCAGCGTTTCAGACCAAGTGGATTTACACTGGAACGGGTAGACAATGGGTGGTACATTGTATCTTCTAGATCAACTGGGTTTACACTGGAACTGGTAGAAATTCTAAACTGTATGTAGTCGGTATGGTAGCTGAGATGATTTTGCTTCTATTGTGGAAATGCTTCATTGTTTCCAGGATCGAATGGCTTTTCACTGAAGCTGGTTGAGAATATTTTACGAAGTTGCTGGTTGCGGCTCTCCAGAACTTCCGAATTACTTTGTGGCTTTACACAACAAGTGGCCTTACACTTGGAATTCTTCGAAGTTGCTTACGGGTTCCACCAGTTTTCCTTCCTGGTGGCCTTACACTCGGAACTCAAATACTAAGTCACTAATTCTCCAATTTCCTTATTAATGATCAAAATCGATTAAAAAAAGGCTTTACTTTTTCTAATTGCAAATTCTACTGACTACGCTTTTTTTATTATGTATAAAATTATATGTGTTCGTTGGAGAATTAAGTAATGAAACTCTGAAGCAAATGCACAAATTTATGTAGTTGTTTACATCTTGGGGTATAAAACTATACTGACTTAATGAATACAAACTATATCTTAAAAATATCTTGATAATAGTTCTTGATCATATTGCTGACACCTCGAGATTATCAGCGTGGGTGTTTATCATCTCCGATGTAGTCTGAATATTGAGATAAAACACACACGTACTGGCGTGCTGGACATAACATACATATCTTGCAATTATCAACAACCGATAATTTGAAGTTATTGATAGTGATTTCAGAATTAAAAGGACTTATTCTTCTGGTAAATTTAATAACTTTGGATTTAGATTGGGAGAGGGTAAGTCCTAGAGAAGGTACTTTGATTTGTAGGTCATTTGCTCCTAATTGTAGAATTTTACTAGTAGTTGCGTTGGATTTACCATGACAGTACATTATTAGGTCATCGGCATTTAATACGCATTTGATTGGTGGAGCTATATTTTCACTTAACTTGTTAATCGGAAGAATGAATTGGGACGTGCTTAAAACTGAACCTTGAGGAACTCCATATAAGAATTAATAATACAATTTGATTTATATTTTTGCATCACTGTATTTAACCTAAACTTTAAAATTATTTTTATAAAAATGAAAGCGTACATCTAAATTATAAATGCCTAGGCATTACATTTTAAATGTGTTTTTTGTACATATTTTCTAGTCTCTGGTAATATCGTACGATAAATTCTCTAAATTAAAAATATCCATCACTGTTCCGCATAAAATTATCTAATTTGTTAAAATAATCATAAATATCGCAACATTTTAACGAGATTCGTTTGGGAAACGGAAACATTTTTGAAGTAAGCCAGCATAGTCTGCCGTAAGCTCTAAGCAGGGGTAATTGAGGCGTATAGTAGAGCAATAAAATATCTTGCAATAAGGACGCCGCTGAAGCGTTCCCGTACTAGATATAAGCGCTCCCGTACTGGATATATACTGCCTTAATTAAATGTAAATTCAGTGCGCTTCGACAACGCAAGTCCTTAACGTCCTAATGATATTAAATGGGCTTTGATACTGCGATAAAATACATGAGTCATAATTGGAATTTTTACTTTCTCCATAATCAGGTCGTTTCACTACCGACGATCTTGCCGATGGGCTGTAGATCTTTTTTATGTATCCTCTTTTAATAAAGCAGGTCTTAAATAAACACAAAAATATTTAAGAGACTCAAATATTTCTTCCCTCTTTTCAACAAAAAACATGAAACATTTTTGTCCTTATATACCATTCGATTTGTAAACTTGTTTTCTATAATTTATTTTAAAATAACAGAAAACAATTGAAGGGCTTAATGTGAAACAATGACTAGCCTCAAAAAGGTAAATTCAAGATAATTTGACTTTGAACGTTGAAAATAATATTATAGAATCCAGTAACAACTTTTGTTGTTTTAGTTTAGATAGGGTATAGGGAGCAGAGATGGACCAGCTTTTAGAAAACTGAAGCCTATTTCTTTCATGAATCGCTCATGTTTTCATCACCACTAGATTTACTTAGCTTTCTCTTACGTTTTTGTTTTTTTAAAGGTTTTGAGCTTTTTTTAATCAAGGCATCCTTCTTCATTTTATTAAAGTCTTAAGCAGTAATCTCTCCAGTTACTTTTTTACGAACTCAGCACGGGCGTACCTCATCAAGAACCTTTCCGGGAGTTATATCTTCATCAGTAATTGATAACTTGTTTGGAAAACCGTGCAAGGATTTTTTACCACTGATTCCAAAGGGACCTGGCTGAGGACATTCTAACATTCATCATTTAGCTCCCTAGAGGTCCAGTTACCTCTCTTATGTGTATTTGGTTTGCAAATATATTTATTGGGTATAATCCTAAAACAAAGCATACTGGTCCAACCCTCCTCCTCGTAAGTGGTCCATCTATCCCCAAATAGGAGGACAGATGGACCAGCCCGTATTGTTTAAAATAAGCGGACTACGGCAGTAGTTCGTGCTCCATAATACACATTTTAAATATAGTTCAATAATAAACTAACAAATAATTGGTCAAACTCACCTGTTTTTACAAAAAATGAAATTTAAAAAATTCAAATACAATTGTTAGACATGGCAGTTTCAA